CCCCAAGAGGACTCTCATAGTTAAGGACTTGGTCCTGGTAAGATGGAGGAGGGGAGACAATTGAATTTGAATGTGGAGGAAATTGTTTTCAGAAGAAATTTATTTTTCAGAGTCCAAAAATCTAGCCAGGATAAGCTGATCCTTAGGACTGTTCACTGGGCTGAAATATCCCAAAGAAATCTTTGATTCTCTGACCAATTCTCTCAATCTTTTTGCCTGTCCTCTCCCCACCTCTCCGGAGGAAGTCACCCAGCCAGCGAAATAGCCCCACACTGTGAATCTGTGACCCAGGAGGAAACAGGCTTCCTTTGGGGATTGGCTCAAGATTAAAACCAGACCGCTCCCCACCTGAACATCCCCATTCCTGGGCCACCGTTCACTTCCACCGCCCCACGCTGTGTGTCTACCTGCCTGTTCATCCACACCCACGGCAGTGACCTACCTGGGTCCCCTGAGCTGTTGCTGTTCCTCTCACTCTCCCCGTCTTCCTGGCCGTCGGCATTCTGCTGCGTGTGCTGCAGGCTCAACTTGTGGCAGACCTCGAAGGCCTGCCCCACCGTCCGGACGATTCGCATAGCTTGGCTCTGGGAAGGAGAAAGGAAAGGAGAGAAGGGAGGATGTGGAGACCCTCTATAAGGACACAAGAAGGGCCGAGGTGGGAGAGGATGTGCAAGAGGCATGCAGACAGAAACCCATGAAGCCAGCAAAGGAAAGAGATGGAAAAACCTCCTGTTGTTTGGATGTGCACATACTCACAAAGAAGAATGCAAAGACATTTTCCCTTCCTGAAATACTCCAGAAAATAAGAAATTGTCACCACAGTTCTGAAACAATCAGTCAACTGAATGGACAGATAGCAAACATCCCAATTCTGGACTTAGCCCAATTCCAACTCCCAAGTTTAACAAAAGTGGTTGATACGCTTCAGAATTCTTTGCCAACCGTTATCAAATGTTCCATGGGTTCATCACACTAACAGTAACTCAGCTATGTTTTTTTTTTTTTTTTTCTGCTGGAAGCGGTGGGTTTCCCTGGTGTTCCTGCAGACCAAGGGTTGAGAAGCCATGGTCTAAACAGCAGAACCAGCTGAGGCCTGGAGTCCAAGTTCCCTGGAACACGACTGGCAGCCAAGGGTATCTAAGGTGAGCTTCCCAGCCTTGCTCTAAAGATGTCTCTCATTGGGTCTATTCTTTGGCTACGTCCTTTCTTTTCTTTTCTTTTCTTTCTTTCTTTCTTTTTTCTTGCTATTTAACCTCTTCCTCTAACTGCCCAAGCACTGAGCTTAACCCTAGCTCCCAGTAGTACACTACTAGGACAGCAGGAGACAGGACAAAAGAGCCTGTTCCTAGAAGGAGTCTCAAGTGGCCCACATAGGCCATGAGGAAAAACCACATGCAAGGTTTTCAGGGCAGGTCTTCTAACTGGATAACGGATTATAATTTGCCAATCGGTCTGTTTTCACATTCTTTCAAAGACTCACTGAATGACTTCAGTGAGAGCTATGCAGAGTTTAAGAGCTCAGGCTGGGAAAGCTTAGGTCACTGCTCCTCTTACACCAGTGGTCCCCAAACACTCTGCCACCACAGACTGCACTGTATTTAACTGTGGCCGTCACTCTATGCCTTGAGTCTAAGATTAATCACATCTTGGATGATCTGACGTCAGGTCAGTTGTAACTACCTAAGGACACCATCCGTTCACCCCACACATTTAAAAAACCCCAAGGTAACGTCAGCAGTCAAGTAGAGCTTCTCATCAGCAAACCGATGCAACTATAGACAAACGCAGAGTCCAATGTTTTGATAAGCCTGTAAGGCCTTGTTGAGGATAAACGTAGGATTCATTTACACTATTCATAACATTGAAATTAGCTCATATCTCTCCATTACTATCTTCATGAATCCCTAAGGGCCTTGGATCCCATGTACGGAACTACTGCTCTAATTCACTCTCTGCTAGGTGTAAGTCCCCAAGTCGCTACCCTTACTATTGCCTCAAGCCTGGCATTACTTCTGTGTTCTCCCTTTTCATTTCAGGCCGCAGTATTCACGTTAAGATGAAAAGGCATCTTGGCCAATCGTCATCATAGGCCTACTTCAGATCTCAGTCTACTTCTACTCCTCCTGACGTTCCTCGAACCACTTCCTAGAAGTGACCGCCTTAGTGCTCAAACCTCTCTTCGCCCATGATGCGAACTCCAGGGATGTTCTTAACTGATCTCTCACCTGGAACATCCTGACGTGTCTGGATGATGAGAACTTTAAGTGAGGCAGGAAGAGATGAGTAACTTCTGTGGGATCCCCCATCACCCAGTGGTGGATCAGAGCCTCTGTCCTGTACATCCAACCTTAACTTCCTCCTGTTTACCGAAGGTCAGGCTTAGGCCCCTTCTCACACCGCAAGTTTGTACTAAGAGATACCTGCTCTGTCTGCACTGGAAGTTGAGGAACAGCAGGCACCGGTCTTAAGTAAGAAGTCCCCACCTTTCTCACTCCCAAAATATATTTAAAAAGTGTCATTTATGGGCTTCCCTGGTGGCACAGTGGTTGAGAGTCTGCCTGCCGATGCAGGGGACACGGGTTCGTGCCCCGGTCCGGGAGGATCCCACATGCCGCGGAGCGGCTGGGCCCGTGAGCCGTGGCCGCTGAGCCTGTGCGTCCGGAGCCTGTGCTCCGCAACAGGAGAAGCCACAACAGTGAGAGGCCCACGTACCGCAAAAAAAAAAAAAAAAGTGTCACTTAGAGGGCACAGTCCCTAACCAATCCAGGCCAAGCACATCTTTCACATGTCCTTTGGCAATCAAGCTGTGCTCTGAGAAGGAGGCTGAGCCAGGAAGCTCAACCCTCAGGTGAAAAAGAAGATTCTGTTCCACTCAAAAGTGTTCTTCCCCCAGGCCTCCTTAGATCTGTTGTTACTTATTCTCTTTATGAGAATAAGAGCAGACTGCCTGTGGTTAATCTTTTACAGCAAAGCTTACTACCAGTTTACCAAACCTTAGAGATGCTATATTCTACCTACCAAATATAGCCAGTGTCCATTACACAGAGCCTTTCCCTTCTTCTGATTTTCAGAAATTTTGCTCTCTTACACATCTTTACAAGAGGCAGAAAAGGACAAATTTGGGAGGTCTAGAAATAAAATATGGTAAGTCTAAATGATATGTAGAGATTCCATATTTAATTCCATTACTTCCTTATCTTCCATAAGTTAACCCAGATAAATCATACTGCATAAGTATCTGCAAAGGCTGAGTTAGTCTTTTCCCAATTGTATTATTACCAGAGTACAGACCCAGTTTCCCTCTTAAAAATATATACTCACGGGCTTCCCTGGTGGCGCAGTGGTTGAGAGTCTGCCTGCCAATGCAGGGGACACGGGTTCGAGCCCTGGTCTGGGAAGATCCCACATGCCGCGGAGCAACTAAGCCCGTGAGCCACAACTACTGAGCCTGCGCGTCTGGAGCCTGTGCTCCGCAATGGGAGAGGCCGTGACAGTGAGAGGCCCGCGCACCGCGATGAAGAGTGGCCCCTGCTCTCTGCAACTGGAGGAAGCCCTCGCACAGAAACGAAGACCCGACACAGCCAAAAATAAATAAATAAATTTATAAAAAAATATATACTCACACAGAAAATTCCAAATTTACTACCACATGCGTTGCTACAAAAATCTCAGGTTCTCCTAAGGAGGACATGTTACAAATCCCCCCAACTCTGTAAGTCACAGAGTCACAGAGGTTCGTTACCTCCCTTAACTAACTTTTAATATTAAAAAATGAAAGGGACTCAAGTGTCCCTGAGTCTAAGGAATTAACAGCGGAAAGGACAGGATCTCTAAACTTCTCTTTGGAAGGAAACACTCCGATTGAAGTATGAGGATATAGCCGGTGGGAAATGACTCTTCAGAGGACCTGCATTTCTCATGCCTCACACACTCACAGTGGATGATGGGATACACTCAGGACTGAGCATCTGCAGAACCTGGAACCCAGCTCAAATCTCTATGCTGCCACCTTCATCAAGGACAAATGTAAGACACACACGCACCGGTTTCAACCAACTATTTACAAGCCCAAAACGGTCGTAAGGAAGTGGCTGGTCTTAATGCTTAATATTTGTACTCTCCGTGTGTCATTTTCACATTTTAGTACATTTACTAGGACAAGCAATTGACCCTCACCTCTATCTGATTCCCCTGAAAAAGGAGAAAATGCAGACTTAGGGTTCACTGGTCCTGACTTCCCTATGTTAGAAATGACTCCCACCTTCCTGGTCTCCCATTTCCTTCCTAGCCCCCTCTACCAGAGCTGCTCTGCAGAACATCTCTGTAACTTCAATGGAAAAGTGAATCACTGATGTTAATAGCCTCTCCTCCGCCACACAGAGGAATAAATATATGGCTAACATATATGAGAGCACCTCCCACAGTGCCTGGCATGTACCGAGTGCTCAAGAAATGTTTTATTCTGAATATGGAATTCACTGCACCAAAGGGGAATTAAGACATAAAACAAACAGTAGTTCAGGAAAGGCTAGGCTTACTTTATCAATAATAGAAACGTGAAGACATGAAGGGAACTGTCTCTTATGTAGGTATGTTAGCATCAAAAGGGCTAAAGCCATCATCTCTCTGTCCCCATAGCAACAGAGAGGAACTGGGCCAAATCATCTTTGGTCTGAGCTGGTATAAAGGTTTCTGCTGTGAGGAAACTGTTGAGTAAGAGTTCTAGATTGGCACATTCAGTGCTAAGTGATTTCATTTTGATTTATCCTTCACTCCTGTTTAATGTGAAGGCTGTATTTCCATTCACAGTAAAAGGACACAGTAGCATGTTTTATGAAGAGCTCTCCGCACTTGAAAACAATCAAGCTAGCCTATCTGCTTTACAGAATGATTATATACATGTAAAAGAACAGCCCCTCCCCCTCACCAGTCCAGCAGTTAGAAGGGGCTGGGTGGCTCCTAATTCTCTCACAAATGGCTATGTGAATTCAGAGGGCCCTTGACCTTTTAGGCTCCCCTTCCTTGACCAGTAAAAAGTCTACTTTTAGAAGATTCTATATAAGGACCTCATTGGGGAATACTACTTGAAGGTGGCTAGGAGGGCCAGCCTGCACCTGGCAGGGGCTGTCCCTCCCCTCACTGGTGCCACCTTCTCCCTGCATGGTCATGCTGGCCCCAGCCTGCCAGGCCTACCCCACGTGGTAACTGGGCCTTCCGGCCTTCTAAGCAAGAAGGCTGCACCTCGGAATGCAGGAATCACACATGCTGGAACTTATTTTAATAAACCATAACTAACTCAAGAGGGAGAGGCTTTAAGAAGAACCCATTCCATCGGGCCCCACGGGTCATCACGAAGCAGGTGCTCATACCTCCTGACCTTTGCAAATCAAACTGGGGCTTTAAAGTTGTGAAGATAGCCAGGTACGAAGCAGAGCAAATAATTAGCATGTTGGGAAGGCAGCCTTTTCCAGCTCCGGGATATGGGCATTCTCTGGAATTTACTAGGTTTTTTACTTTTATTATCTATCTATCTATCTATCTATCTATCTATCTATTTACTTATTTATGGCTGTGTTGGGTCTTC